GGCCCTTGCGAAGTGAAGGAGGCCCTTGGGTATAGCCCTTGTGGTACCGAAGTAGATGTGCGTTGAAATAAAGCATCACACTATGGTACCGTTGAGTGTGCTTTGAAAGCGGGCGAACAAGTGACCGCAGCAGCATGAGCACTTCCCCTGCGAAAAGGCATCGGAAGCTTGCTTAATGAGTGATGGGACCCTGGAGCAAAGACCACAACATCCACTCGACATCAAATAAACCACGGTAGTGAAACATGCTCGACCCATGCCCTTCTTTTCATGTATGGCAGTGGATCAAAACCAGACTTTGGTCGAGCTAATTACCTGGAAGGTTGAGCTACACGGTATTGAGGCTCCAAGTTTTGATCCATCCCCACAAAGTTCGGCGAAACCCTCTTCGACCTCAGCCATCCAACTGCCTCAAACCGAAACCGAAAGGGTCGCCTCGTTCCACCGCAGCTCTGTTACCACCCGAGCGACCCTTTCTTCGCGAGCTTGCAGATGTGATCCACCACATCCTCGCGACCGAACCGACGGGGGAACGGAGAGTGGTCTTGTAATTCTTCCAGTCCCATGGATGGTCTGGGAATGTAAACATACTCGGATGTCACATGGAGTGATAGGCTATCCCGGATCCACAGACCCAGGTACCTTCTCAAACGATACTTAGGATCCCTAGGCTATGGTAAAATGGATTTGTTTCACCTTGAGATCAGTTTGCGTCCAGACTGTCTGCGCCCTCCTGGACGGTTCGAACCGGACGAAGGACGTCACGACCGAACGAAGGATGTCGTTGTCCGTCCTCCTTTAAATTATGTCGACAGTCATGATTCCTCCTGTTTCTTCTTGCGTGTTCTTCCTTTGCTTCTTCTACCTTCTTGTTGGTCCCTTTCTTGTTCTTGTTTCTGCTTCTTCTTGTTTCTGCTTCTGCTTCTGCTCCTGCTCCTGCTTCTGCTTCTGTTTATTGTCATTATTATCCTTTGTCTTAGTTTCATGTCTGATTCTTCTATTGCTATCCATAATCTTATGTGCTATGTTTGTTGAAACACATACGGTCAGTACTGTATCATGCAAGTCAATATAAGTTGGACATTCCGTGTGGAATGAGCAACAACGAGTTAGCTCCAAGCTCTAAGCTCTACTGCAGTAGTGAACCGGCAAAGGAGAAGTTAGAAGCTTTACAAAGCCACACACGTAGCAATCGTGTACAAACAACTCAGAAGAACCTGTGGGAACCTCCGATGTTTAATCATGCTTACTGAGGCTTTACTGTTGCCCTCCCTTCAAGTTCCAGCCTTGCCACCAAGCCCTGCACAGTCATGCGTGGCTGTCAGACGGACAAACAAACCAAGCAAACGCCCAGGACCCTTCAAGACACGGGACCAAAGGGAACCAAACCTCCAAAAACCTATGAGTCTCACCACAACCCAGGCCAAATCGCAATTCCAAGAAGGGTGTTCGCTCGGTTGGTTGACTCTGGTCAACTCCTCCGACTTCATCTTCAGCCATGTCGGTGGGGTGCGCTTGTAGGGGATCGCGGAGGAGGCCTTGGTGGCACGATGTAACTCGCCCCCGGAGGAACGAGCCGGGAGCAGTGCCGGAGGAAACCAGACGGAAGGAGGGAGCCGTTGGAAGTTCTGCACGGTCGTTGACCAATAAGTTCTGCTGAGTATTTCGAGGGTATATCTAAGATTATCTAAGGGTACTGGTGTACGACTCCAATTTTCGGTGTCCTATTTGGGTGGTCTCAGAATGGGGTTTCGGGTGAAAGGTTCGTAGCGACACCCGTGTTGACACCCGTTGAGCGCTCTTTCAACGGATCCTAAACCATTCCCAATATGGAACGTTGTCTAAGTTCGTCTAAAGAGTTAAGCCAAGAATTACATTATTTTGTCCTTCCTGGGTCACCAATGGAAGGTTCTGTACTACGTACTCATGGATCTCCATTGGGCACCCCTTGGAAGGTCCAGGTAGTTGTATTGTTTGGACAAGGGTCACTCAGAAACGGGTCAAGTACCAGGTCATCTGGTCATCGCATCCATGTCCAGCTGTGTTCGGACCCTCTGAGATGGTCCTCTTCCAGAGATGACCCGGATGGTTGGACTTCCAGAAGCCAAACCTCTGACAAAAATATGTGATTGCCTTGCCTCTATACTCAACTGGCTGTGGGTCAGGCCCCCTGGAGGTCGGGAAAGTGCGGTATATACACCACCTCATGTCCCACACGATAAGTCTTCTCCCACCCACACGACGACGGTGTGCAGCATATTGCAGCTATTCGCAGAAACGCTCTTCGATGTGTTGTGCAACACTCATCAGTCACGGCTCGCGTGTCGACCAATTCTACCTAACCCCGTTGAAACTGTGCAAACCTTGCAGGCATACATATCCTTGCTTTAGATGCGAACCTGCCTTATCATACGAATCACCCGTTACAGATCTCGATGCTCCCACCATGTGTCCTATTCCAATGGGTGCAAGAACAGCAATTTTCTGCGAGAGAACAATTGCAAGAGAAAGTCCGCCGTTTTCAAAGCGCCAAGCGATCTCTTTCAGAAATAGTGATTCCCGCTTTGCCATGAATACGCAGTAGATATGCCACAAGCTGATTCGTAGGTCATTCCGCAATTCATGCATATGTTTTCTCGTATGTCTAGGTGCACATGGCTCATGATTTAGCATAGCGTATGTGCTAATTCATGCGCATTGCACGAGAACACGCAGGTGCTCATCTCCCCTACCACACCCGCCCTCATTGGGCTTGCCGCAAGAGCGAGCGATGCCTGCTTAACCCACCAGGTGATTGACCTCCCTTGTAGTCTATTCTGTTCATGTTCGATGGTCAACCAAGGTCTCCCGGTTTTGATTTGACCCATAGCCACATGTCCCCGTCGTCATGTCCATTCATTTCCCATAGTAGATGGTGAAACTGTGAGGCAACTCTTTGAGGAATGAACCAAAACACAGTTTCACCATCTACTATGAGCTCAAGTAGTTTCATCATCTTTCTTTCACCGTCTACTATGTGTTTTTGTTCCATATCCACCCTGAGAAAAAAACAAAGTAAGAAGTAACTGTTCATCTTTACAACTGTACGGCCGGCTCGCCGATAGAGACAAGTCTCAAGAGGCTCAAGCCGTTTGGCTACAGAATCTATGAATCATCTTCCTCCTAGACGACCGCCGCAAGTCACTCGGTACCTCGGTCTGGCGCGCCCAGAGGGCGCTCGAGACCGGTTGGGTGCATCCCAAGGAGCAATACCTTTGCCCTTGCCGTACATGCCTCGGAACTCGCGGGTTGAACCGAACTCTGCACCCCCGGGTTGTGAGAAAAGACATGCCGAGAGGTACGGTACGAGGGCTACGAGGGATGCCGTAGATCGACGGTTTTCAAACCCATTGAAACCGCTACCAGAACTCGCTCGAGAGCCATGAGACATCATGAGACCAGGAGACGACGAGAGCCCTATAAAACGGACCGTAATGGACCGGAATGGGTTCCACTGGGAATCCTTTCCGAATTGGGGCGAACCCGACGGTGAAAAGCGCGTGCATGACATCCAAAGACATCCGAGTTTGAAGTTCATCCATACCAATTGTTCTGCTCTGTTTTTCATCCACCCAATTGACCAAATATTGAGACTGCTCGGTCCACGGCATCGGTTGAGCACACGATCTGAGCTTCCAACGTCCCATGATTGCAAATGAAGACCTGGAGAATGGGCTCATGGTCCAGGAAATGTCGGCATGGAACTGCACCCTAGAACTGCGCTATCTACTAAATCTGCCAGGAAGCTCACTAGTAGGGTTTGGGGGCCATTGACATTTGTATACGATCATGATCCTTCATTCGCTTCTTCGCCTTTGCTGACAAAACCGAAACAAGCATCGCTTCTTCCAGTCACAACGTGCCCGGGGAGAAAACTAGACCCTTCCGCAATCTTTCCACGGGCAAAGGTGGTTCAAACTCCAATTTCACCCGGGTTCTTCCTCCATCTGAGGTTCCGTTTCGCTGGTTTCGTGGTCAGGTGCGAAACCATTGGTGAGCCAAGTCCTCCCGCTTTGGTCTGGGTCTGAGTGGGCATCTGGGGACCCTGGGGACCAAACACTCGCCATAGGCGTCTTAGACCGTGGTGGCAACAAAAAAACAGCAGTTAAGGCACCATAAGGGACCTATATGTTTAGACTGCTGTGGCGCAAGTTTCGAAGAAAAATAGCTGGTACATGCTGGACATGCATGATACCCATCTCTCATCTCAGCCACCGCTGGCCTGGAGAGTCTTTGCGCCGTCCGAGCAGAGTCTTTGAGCCGTCTGTGACCGGTCATTGTGTGAACAGGTCCTACATGGTACATCAACACTCCCTAGGGATCCAAGTACCTTCTCAGAAGGCACTTGGACCCTGAAAATCTACATAAGAGTGTCTCCAATCACCTCCTGAGAAGGTACTTGGATCCCCAGGGACTACGTAGTGTGGAGGCCATCGCTTGTTCTTTTGCCATCAACACGTTCGTGTGGCCCCCTTTTTTGAACATGAAATCCCAAAGACTCAAAGCAAGACGTACTGCCTCTTTTCCTTTCCCGCCTCCAATTAGTATTTTAAACTGTTGTATGGTCCGGTTGAAATGTTGCCCGCCAAGGTCAAGATTACATAGAGAGGCACTGCTGAGGAGGAGCTTCAACTTTCACCTTTATCTTGGGCAATTACAACAGTCAGCATAGTCAGCCTACAATTGGATACAGTTGGAGGTCATCAAATTGACAACAATCAACAAAGGATCTGCTCATCTCCTCCCGAAAGTGTTGATCAGTGTTCGAATGGCCATGTTTAGAGCTGAAAGTGCTCAGACCGACCGAGGCGTACGCAAGAATGTCCCGTTTGGGAAGAATAGAGGGGATATATAGGTTGTTCACCTGGGGGTGTTGTCCCCTCTATTCATCAAACTAGCAAGAATAAAAGGAAATGCTCTGGTTTTCTCCGTCCCGACGGATGCTTTTTGCTCCATCCCTCTCAGCGGCGGATCAGTGGGTTGCTGCGGCTGGGCACCTGGAAACGGAAGGGCACCATGTGGCCGTTGGAATCCAGGGCACAGTGTATTGTCCACATGAATTCATACAATTTAATCATCGAAAACAAGGACTTCGTACAATCATGCGGATCAAAAATTATCCCTGGAACGGACGGAACCACATGATGTGGTCATCCACATCTCCGAAGATGAACTCAAAAGCAATCATTCAATTCAGTCATAGCAGGCCAAGGATCTTGGGGGGATCCCTTTTTCCAAATCAGCCTCATGGGCTCAGGCGGATCCGACCACGAAACTTGGAAAAGGTCTCGGAAGAAAAAGAGTTTCAGCAATCACGAGCAAAAACGGTCACAGAGTCTCAAGCAAGTATGTGTTGTTTTTGAGGAGTCCAGCTTGCCCAAAGAAGCGAATCCTGAACGACCCGTGGGCTTCCAAGTCTGAAGCTCCAAAATTCCAACTCAGGTGAGCACCACTGATGGCTGCTTGAGTGAAAAGATGGCTGAGCCAGCACATGTGATGAAAAGCACCTCAGAATCAGACACCGACTGACCTAAAGATGTCTTTTAGATGGGGTCCAAATGCCGTTTGAATCCTTTTGGGGATTGTGCCATCTACTCTGAAACCACTGTATATGACATGACTGACATGACTGAATAGGTCTCGACTGAGGGAAGACCTATTGGTTCTAATCTGTTCAGTGATTGTCTGTGGCAGGTTGAACGGTGCCGAATGTTGCTGATCATGTTGGAGTTTTGATACTTTTGCATTTTTCAGGCATCCGTGTGAAAAAGGTAATGTTTTGCATGCTGTCCATCAACAGTGGATTGGCAAGAAAGCTGCCACGAGTGTTTATTTCTTGAAGATATTCGTGTAGAAACTGAGCAAGTAGACTCTGTAAACATGCTTCGGCTGGTGTCCCCACGTTGCTCAATGTTTGGACATCTTGAAGTCTTGATGGCAACTAAGTCCCCTCTAGAGAAATCATCTCATCCTATCACTCTCAGGATGTACCACATGTACCAGGCGTTCCGAGGGTCGGTCGATCTCCGGACCTCTGAGCCACGCGCCACGCGTTCCGAACCGCCATCGACGGCTGAAGCGACCGAGCCAAGCGACCAGTACACAGCAAAGAGCTATCACATATTGGTGCGCCTGGCGCGGTTCCGGCGCCAGAGCCATCGCATGAAGGGAGAGCTCCAAACTGACGGATTCACCGACGCCGACACATATCCCAAACTACGAGCTTCAACCATTTTCTCTGGCACCCTGACGATGGACCCATGACTGCGGTGTTCTACCTGGCAAATCTGAGTCGCAAGTTTCGGCGTGGTTACCAAGGTAGAACTAACCAATAAGAAATTAAGACACGTTTGGTGGCCTTGCACCGCTTTCACCCTTCATTCAACTGTCCTATGGGATGCCCAATCTCTTACCAGGGAAAAACAAGACATCTGGAAGTTGGCAGTGGCAGAGAACGAAAATGAGTAATATGTGTTTTTGCCTCAACAACCTTTGGTTCATACCACGTTTGTGTCAAACGAAACCTTGCGCCTCTCGTGCATCTTGAAGAAAGCCTTCTTCCATGCAGTCCGCCAACTGCGCGAGACAAAAACAGGTTGCCACGATGAGTCTGCTGTGACAAGGACAGCGCCATTTGGCCATTTGGAAAGCATATATAGATACAATGCTTATAAAGTTTATACATGCACCCCTTGTGACGTTTCTTTTAGTGGACAACGTGTTCCCCAAATGCATGCGCCTCTTCACCTTGAAAACCGCATTGGCACTGGTATTGGCGTTGTATTCAAATCCGCCAGCATCCGCATCCGCATGATGTAATGTAATGTGAATATGTCGCACGTATCTTGATCACCTGCTGTAGCCTGACCTGACTTCTTCGAAGCTCACGTTCAGATGCTACGTCTCTGGATCATTACTATGTGTATCAATATACAAAGACCATAGGGAGTTAGTGTATATACATATTGTAGTAATATTTATATAGATTTATATAGTATAGATGTCGTTAGTGGATGTTAGTGGATCAAAACGCCATGGACAAACAAAACCTCCAAAACTGTCGTCCCGTCCTGTCAAACACGAAGTCTGCCATGAGGCAGCTCTGGCCAGTCGTCCGTTTTGTCGGCCAGTCAGCCACTGGCCGGTGCTGGCGAACACGGTGAAAGTTGACATCTGATCGTCAATTGAAAGTCGAATGAGCTTGGCATGTGGAACTGGAAGCTAAGCTAAGCCTATAAAGAGGAGGCCCTGCAAGAGATTCCGGACTCATCGATCTTCCGGCTCCGGAAGTCAGAACGGGACTCTTTCTTCCGTCTCCATCGAAGAATCGCCGCTCCGTCACTGACGTTCTCCGGCAACCCAGCCGACGGCAGAGCTGACCGGACCGATGGCCTGAAGTGCTGGCAGCACTGGCCGTGGCTTCACCTCCCTTCGGCCATAGCCTGAAAGAAGGGAGAATCCGAGAGCGAGCGACGGAAAAACCAGACCTGAACCAGCTGTGCAGGAACCAGCAAAATTTGGGGAATTTCCTGATTTCCTGGGGTATTGTGCAGGACACATCTTCTGTATTCCCCAAATTTTCCCATATACCCCAGGAAATCAGGAAATTCACCCAGATAGAGAACATACAAATTCCTCAGGCAAAACCAGGTTCATCAGATGTCGCCCAACTTCCCGGGTCAATGACCTTCAGGTCAATTCCAATCGTCGCCTTTCTGATGGGGCCCTTCTTTTGGCAAAATATGTTGGGTTCTGGCACAAAAGAGTTCATCCTGTAATGCTCCTGAATAATCACCAGGTTGGGGTGATCGAATCAATTGATAAGTGGATTCATCATGGATCATAAATCTGCCAGGACAATCCAATGGGTGTTCAATGGACTACCCCTACACTACACTACTTAGAGATGTCCATTGGACACCCATTATTGGATGGTCCAGGTGTGTTGTCTTGCGTTTCTCCAGCACTTCATCCGAGGTTTAATCAAGGGACAAACCTTGATGCACTCTTGGAAGTGGTATCGAAATCGTATGCCTAGCAGCATCCACCATCTAGTCATTGATGCTTGTTTCATCATCAGGCATCCATCCACCAGAATAGATCTGCAAAGTGGGTTCAGGTGAAAAAAACATCATTCATGAGGTTCAAGTACTTATTGATACTCACACAACGTTCTGATTGAAGTCATGTTCAAGAGCACTGTCTAGTTGAGGGAGACTCTAGATGTTCCACGCACAGTGCGTGGTCCACACATGATGTGGCATCAGTGGAGTGCATCGCAAAATGTTAAGCGGAGTGCAGAAGGATGATCCTCAGCCTTCCAAAAAGATGACAGGCAGCTGAAAACCAGCTCCAGGACAGACGGATGCACAATCCTGGTGGCAAACAATCCCTTTTTGCAGACTACTTTACCGCTTTTCAGTGGTGAACACAAACTTTTTGGCATGTGATTTTGCCTTAACTTCTGTTGACATCTTTTGTATTTGTGTTGCTGCTTTTTAATTACATTATTTTGGCTTCACTGCATGAACACCAATGTTGCAGTAACTCTGTTGCCGGTAATCATGCAATATGGGGTGTCTGCTTGCGCACGTCCCACTACAAGTGTCATGCATGGCGCTGTTTCCCGAAAAAAGTCCCGTCAGTGGTGAACGGGTTCCCTCCATTCTTCAGTCGCTCCGCCGAAGTCTTGGGGGCACACCGACATCATCCAGCATGGCCTCGGCTCTGGTTGGCGATGTGGTCTGCCTTTTGGCCCCCCCAGTGCCCCCGGTTTCTTCTCGGTCGTTCAAGGCTTTCCGCGGTGAAGTCGCTTGCAGCAGAATCGGATGCTAGCACAGGAAGTATAGGGCAACTCTGGATCGGGTGAGCATTGGATACCCTGAGGATTGGATGCTACCTTGCAGATTGGATGTCCCGATGCCTTTAACCAATCCCTCTCCATAACAGGGTGTTATTTGATTTTGGCTCTTTGATCAATTCTTCGTTGCTTGTTTTCCCAATATTGAAAAAAAAACACATGTTTCCTGTCTGGACAGATCCAGGTTGGTTTCCTTGATTCCGGAATGAGATCACCTTAACCATGGACGGTTCACCGAGCGTTCACCGAGCGTCGTCAGCAAAACAAAGAGGACACCGCACGGAAACCCCACGGTGGAGGGTGGGTGGGAGCCCGACATGGAACTGCAAACAGGAAATGACTCGATGAACATTTTAGTGCTGAGGGACTGGGTCCTTCGTTCAGCTTAGCAATGTTGGATTGTATCAATGATTGTATGTTGGGTCCACCTCCCTGCTATGCAGGGTCAAAACGCTCCATAGAAGGGTCGAATGATGGTTGGGACAGAATGATTTGGGGGTGCCCAATCAGTTCTATTGCAGGTCACCTGCTCATCCCAACGGGAAATGCAGCCAGAATTCGCAGAAGATCCTGGTTGATAAACTAGTACAGTTATATAAAATATTGTAAAAATGAATGTTTGGAGAGAGAAGTGACATCTCTCGATGCTAGTTTCTGCTATGCATGATGGAGAATCTCTTAAAGATTCATCCTAGTTTCCTCAGACTGCAAGAACCAACCATATGTCTTCTGGATGTGTGATAGTGTGTGGGCAACACCCCACACCACATGAAGGGAGGGTCAAAACAAGTCGCCGCTTCGTGAGTGGATTTGCTCCAAATTCCTTCCCCTCAGCAAAAACTATCCAAAACTATTAATTCAAGCTCCAGTCCCGGAAATCCTCGGGCCCCCAACGCCCTCAGCTGGCTTGTCTCGAAAACCTGAAGGCGCGACCCGGTCGCAAGGGCACGGGCGGTACTCGCGAGCGAAAGCGCGGGCCCTGTGGGCCACCTGTGGGCCACCTGGACTAGTACGAAAAGACCATCCAAGCGAAATAAAGCCCTTATAACGTACCCAGTGGGTCAACGCACCAGTTTAACCAGTTCTTTAGCAACGCACCAGTTTAACCGGTGCTTTAGCAAAACTGGGGCTGGAAGCTTAAAAAGGCCGTGAAAAACACGTGAAAAGGACGTGAAAAGCCCGTGAAAACAGGGTGAAAGGCCGTGAAAAACCTGTGAAAATTAGGTCTTGGAAGTTGGGAGGTGAAATGCGTCCTTTATGCTAACGCACCAGTTTAACCCGTCCTTTGGACTTGCTGGGGTATACACCCCGAGGCTCCAACGTTTGCAATAGTTCTCGACATTCACAAATGTGGCAAATATTTCCCACATTAGCTCACAAGTGACATCCGTATGTTCTGAGAACATGCATTCACACGTGACTTTTGGGGGCTTCATTAATTTAGGATCCCACCCACCCTATATTGCAGCACACAGTTTTCCACTCCACCCATCATCGCCGCAAAGGCTGTCCGCTTCGCCCTTGCTCATACGTTTGTAGCCTCAAGAGAAGGCGGCCCATCAAGCGGAACTCCAACATCTTCCGGTGGACACGACGTGCTAGGCCTTTTGTCACACCGATCATGTCTTCATCCACGTAGGTGTGAAAGAAACGGCAATTATATTTGCAACGGTGCATGAACAGGTTGAGCTCCTGAAATGCCTCAGCTCACCCATCGATTCATGAGCTGACCTCCACATACCACTCCTGGTTTAAGACAGAAACAGACTTAAAGTCAGCCATGCTACATGAAATTTTGGCTTGAACGGAAACTGCAACAAACCAGCTCGTTGATGCATCAATGCCAATTTGCGATATCGTCGAAGAAACCTGCACTGCACAAACAAGGGGCTGAACATGCAACATTAACATGCCATATCATTATGATTTTTTGTAGATTGCACGATGGCTTCCCATGAGAAAGCTGATCAGGCAAGGAGCTGCTGGGAGGTTTGATAGATCGAGTCAGCTTCAGATCCGGAGAGGTAGCGACCAGCAGATTCCACCAAAAGAAACCACTTGCAAATAGAAGTCAGAGTCCCAAAAATCAGAAGCAATATATCACTGATGGGTCCGTTCGCTTGCGCATGAAGTTTGTTGATCAAGTCCGCTACCTTTGTTTGTAAAAAGCTCGCCATAACTCTTCCTGCGTATGCCTTGATACGCAACTCCGGAAACTCTCCATCCTTCACTAGAAGTAATGCACTGCATATTGGTGTTTGGTAATGCCTTCACAGGGTCCATTATTCTTAACAAACACACTTTTGTGCTCGCTTCACGGCGTTAGGCTGAGGGTCTACCTCATTTAGTAATCTTGCCTCAGTCGGTTGGCCTGACACCACTTGTTGAACTGGTTGGTCATGATTCTCAGCTGATCGCCAAGTGCATCACTTCCTGGGCACAGGTTGTTGCAGAGACCATCGATATTGGATATTGGTACTTCTTACCTATTTGCCTACAAGTCTGTGGCCTATTGATTGCAGCAAAGGGACCAAAAACAGCGAATTCATTCAGCTTGTGAATGGTGCTACCGTTGATCCATTGTAAGATCCCAAGGTTTACAGTGTGCATGCCTGGGCTGCCAGAGGGTTCTAAGAGAAATTATGATTTAGAGCCATGCCCCAAATGACTAGGCCAAACAGTCATCCCAAAATGTTGTTCAATTCGCTAGCAGCAAAGCACTGCAAAACCGGATGAGGTGTGGCGAGAAGCCAATGACCCCCTAGGATTGCTGCACACGTTGCCGTTGCATGGGTTTTGGCATAAAGTTGTATCAGCATTCAAACTAAACAAAACCAAAATGCTTTCTAAATATGGTGGACAGACACACACAGAGGGTTAACATAGGCCCCCAAGCTCTGCAAGTAAAACTGTGGTACTGTCAACCGAGGGAAGCTTTCCATTTGGTCGAAGCGAGTGTACCTTGGTGGGGGCCACAGGCCACTAGCTAGCATCGATGTATCCTTTTGGGCTAGGGGTATGATCAGGAATTTATGAAACACACCATGTATTGCAGTATATAGTGGGCAAGTTGCTGCGAAGGCCCAAACTTGGTCGACGCGCAGCACAAAAAACATAGATTAACACACTTGTAGTGCCTTCGGAGAGCCCAATGCTCCACATGCCATTTCCAATCCCCACGACATTCGGCTAGCGCAAACCGATGCCGTAAGGATGCACCTGCCTTCCTAGCCCTGTGAGCATCAAGTGGTTCCCCAGCTGCCCCACAAGATGGCCATTTGCCGATGTAGGCAGCCTTGGAGTGGTGGCATGCGCAGTCATTCAAAAACATGAAGGCGGGTGAGGACAAAGGGCGTGGTGGAGGGGCTTCAAAAGCCACAGGTCATTGGACTAGACTAGGTGCTACAAAAGAAAACAGGAAATGGCTTTGAACTGTCTAGGCCTAGGGGCATTGAGACTCCAAGCTGTCACACGGAGGATCGGATCTAGCGATTCTGGTCCAACGCTCAACTCTTCACGAAGAACAAAGAATACAAATCGTGTAAGGTCAAGTCCTGAGTAGCTAGATTCGCAAAAGAGAAATCAGGTATTCTACATATAACTGACTTCATAGACTTATTCATAGATTCTCTCTAGACTGCGATGCCAAAGTGTCGCATGGTACGTTGCAAAAGAAAGTTGAGCATCATGACAATGATTTTAGCACCGGCTAGAGTGTAGCGTGCATCATCTCCTGATAGCCCTATTGGGAGATGAACTTTTTCTGAAGTAGCAGGGTGGGAGACCTCAAAATGATTCTCCCAGTGCGACCAGAATGTTTTGACATCATCTGGACTCCAATCGATCTTGTGCTTCTCCTTGGCCAGGCGAAGCATGGTGCCAATTGCAAGGTCAATGCAAGGTGCAGTTTCAATGGGAGCGCCGGGAAGCAAGGGAGCATGGCTTCAGCACAACCCCCAAGAACATGTACTGTAAATGAACTCCAAGGTACTGTGAGATAGCACAGCAGTTCGTGGGGAATCAGCATCGGGACCCGTAAAGTGGTTCTGGCATGCTTGTCTACTGACTCCAAATCCTTGATGGGAATCTCAACAAAATGAAGGGCCTTGGCTGGAGATCCCGGTCTAGACCAGGCCAGTACTAGTGATACCGATCACAAACCAATCACACGTGTTGTCCTACATTTACAAAAGGTTGAAACACACAAAATCAGATCAATTAAGTTACTATTGGAAGCTTCAAGATGTTCAGCAAATCTCTCTCTGCATTGTTCGGGTGCCTTCCGTGGCAACCAATGCCACTGATTCTCTTTGTGAGCTCACTGCAGTGCCCGTTGCTCTCCTTGTGGGGAAGCACAAAGGCAGAATAGGGTCTAAGCTACAGGGAAAATGCACTAGCGTGCAAGCACAAATAAAAGTACTGGTGCATACTGGCACCCATCAATGCATGATCCAGTTCACTGGTGATGAAATCAAAGGAACTGCAGCTAAGCATCAGTGACCATAGCGGTGGCATATCGTTGAAGGCCCGCAACTGAAGATGCCTTATTCCAATTTAAATGCAAACACGGAAGGCTTGGCAATGCGAAGCTCAGAACCTAAACAGCCAATAAATAGATTTTGTCCAAGCTACACCGCGGCCTAATGTAGAAAGCAGGTGCTCGGCAAAGGTCGTATCTGCGAAGGGGCCGTTGCAAACATCATGGGCACTTTTTAGCACAACAGGTGTGCAAAAATCCTAGTACCAGCACACAAGCGTTTTTATCCTTGAGATCTCGCAAGTATCGGTACCGGTGGCATCGCACTACCGTGTAGCCAAATTGTCTCACCACGCACCCCAAATCAATGCTATTAATGCATTGAACACCGCGTTGCCCCAGGATTGTGACAAGAGGGCCGCCAGTATACTAGCATTTCAGACCAACTAGGGTTGAATGGTAGCAGCTATTGAAAAGTGTGTTTATTCTTTATTTTGTTGTCCCATCTTGTCCCCAGGACTGTAGTGAGTCACGGCATACAACCTATGTAGCTAGCCTACACCACCATAGTCATCTCCAAAATTCGAAAACGCGCCAGGCGATGTCCGCTGCTGGCAGTCATCATTTGGCCTTAGCCTTAGCTCCACCCTTGGCCTTGGCCGTCGATGCCTTTGGCACCAACTTCTTCACACTGGCGGCAGCTGATTTGTAAGATGTGATAGGCGCTATCAGCGCTTGGGTCAAAGGAACCAAGGCATCACCCTCAATTCCTGTTGATAGCGCATCCTGGCAATTTATCAAAGAAAACAATATTGTAATATAATCAAGATGACAATAACTTTATAGACTTGGTCAAACATAGCCTCGAGATTCGATCGTGCAGACTCGAGGGCCGTGATGTGTTTCTCCATGTCATCTGACGCACACTTCCGCATACCTTCCGGCCTGAGGTGCGGACAGATCGATGGGCAGTTCTCTCAAGTTAGCAGAAGTTGGGAGGCTCAGATCCTGGCACACCTGCCTTCTGCAGCACCGCGCCCCAACCTTATCATAAAACAATACCAGGTACGGTGCACAATCAAGTGAATGGTTTAAAAAGAAATGTAAACACGTCTTTGTGGCTAGCCGCTTTTGCCTTCAAGGATGAGGGTCGCAGCAGTATTCATAGCCTCAACAGACTTGGGCATACATATAGGACCCATAACCATTCCCGCATTATGGTTAAAGATGCAAAATTACAAACCTGCATGCATGTCAAGAAGCAGATTTGGCTTCTTGCTCAGGTGTCTTTGCTTTGGGTGGTTTGGTCGGTTTGGATGGTTTGGGTTCCGACTTTGGGAGTTTTTCTGGGACTGCACCAGGAGCGTTTCCGGGTCCCGCAGGTCGTGAAGGTGCACCACCGCCTGAAGAGTCCACGTGCGACTTCGAAGGCGGCTCAAGAAG